AGTGAGTGTTTTATAAAATAGGCTTATGTGTGTCATTATAGAACTTGTTTTCCCCTTACTTTATATCAACCACATTTCTCTGCATAGGAGAAATTGTATTTTCCTATGCAAGTTAACGGCTACATAGAACCCCGCTGTCTGGCCAAGTTGTAACCTAACCGGTGCCCCATTGAGGATACTACCCAAGAGTTCTAATGTGTCCCTGTTCTAAACCAGGGCTGCAGTGAGGAAATACTCGTGGATAAGGGAAAAGCAGAATTTTCTCACCCTCTAAGGCCTGTTATGGGCTGGGGCTGTGACAGTCACAGGCTGGCCTGGCTTCCTCCCTGCGTGGGTGGGGGGATAGATGAGGCCTGATGTAGTTCAACACGAGTGACTGTGTCAGGGCCCATGGGAGCCCGAGAGGAGCCCTCTCAGCTGGGGCTGGGGCCCCGGCTCTTTCTTGGTCTGTCTTTTCAGGTATAGATCATCTGCTGGACGAGCGTCTGGAGTTGGCCGAGACCCTTCGAGCCTGGCCGGAAATCCTCGAGCAGGTGAGCAGTCCCTGCTTCAAGCTGTAGGACACTGGGCAAACTCCTTCCCAATTTTGGGCCTTGGGGGCCCCCATTTCTGAAATGAAAGCATTGGCCACCATGACGTGTGGGTCCTGGGTTCTGTAAGCCGGGCAATGGCGAGAGGTGAGAGGCTTCAGCTGGCTCTGTCCCAGGATGCTTCACCCACACCATGGATAGTGCTTGTCCTGGAAATGTAGGTGGCCTCTTTTTAGTACAGGCAAGCCAGGGAAAAGAAAGTCCAGAGAGGCCAAATGACTGCCCGCTGTCACACAGCTAACATGGCCATGCTGGGATTGGGATTTGGGGCAGACTGTCATCCCCTTGCCCTCCTGACTGGGCATGTCTTTCTCTCTGGACTGTCAGCAGCTGGCAGCTTGTAGATGATAAATGGGAAAGCTCGGTGTGTGACTGCTGTGACTTCGGCTGTTCCCACCCAAAGAGAGGGCGGCACCACGGTGAGGTGGGGCGAGACCAGGTCCAGGGGCCGCTGGGGGCCTTTGGCTTGTGTGGGTGGATAGATGTCACTGAAATTGCCATGGGCTTGGGCTCTGGGCTGTGAGGCGGGGGCCATGAAAGGATCGTGGCTTGGATGGGGTCAGCTGTGGGCTGGCCGGTGACCTGCAGCTGCCTCTCCTGTCCCATGGGTGCTTTGAGGAGGAAGCTCGCTCTGCTCAGTGCAAGGTCCTATGATGGGGGTGCTAATAACTTATTCCCCTGCCCTCCTTTACCAAGCAAATATATAACTATCCTAGACAATTCAGATTCTTCAAAAAGATATAATCCTACAATTCAGACTATCGTTCACTAACATTTTAGTGTAGCCATATCCAGGCAGCTTTTGTTATTTGTACCTCTGAATATAAGGGTCCAGTTTTTCTGATATTCTATAACATGCTTCTATAATATGCTACAGACAGCTCTGTAGGTCAGATCTCTCTTTTACATTTACGATGGTGTAACAATCAACAGAATGGTGGTACTAGAATTGGATTGAATCCCAGTACTATGTGGATGGATCTTTGTGTTCTTCAGTTATTGTTTCTTAAACCCTGCTGGGTGACACCTCACTGTCCCCTGCCCCCATTTAGGATGAATGCACACCAGCTCTGGGAGTAAACCAGCTCTGGGCCTCTGCCAGGAGCTAGGCGGGAGGAAGACGTCAGGGCTAACAGCTTCCCCTCCATAGAGTTCCTGGGGGAAGGGGACACCTATATGGTGGTCGTGGGGCCGCTGAGGGTCAAGAAGCTACCGGTGTCATGGTTGCAAGGTAAGTGCAGGGCTGGGATGCAGCCTAGGCCCTAAAAGAACTGGTTTCTCCACCACCGTCCAGGCTCATGAACACTTGTTCTCGGTCCCGTCCCCAGCCACACCCTGCTTCCCCACATGCTCCTGGCTTCTCTTTTCCCACCGTGGTGAAGAACTCTGGGCTCGCTGTCAGCTCTAGCTGGGCAGCAGTGCCTCTGGACAGTCCTGAGGGTCTCCCGGGCCCGTCCTTCCCAGCCCCCTGCAGGAGGCTACGGGACTTGCTAGCGGTGCTGCTGGCCCTCAGCTGTGTCTCTCTGCTGCTGATCCTGTTCCTGCTGACCCTGAAGAAGGTGCTCCAGGCCTTCCAGCTGTGCTGTCCTCCTGGCTGCCTGGGGTACACGCCGAGGGAGGCCCTGGCCAATCTGGATGCCCAGGAGGTGGGGCCAGTGGTTGGGGCAATGGAAAGACTCTCGTCTGCAGAGGAGATTGATTCAGCGTCCCGGTCTACCATCGAGGAAAGCTGGGAGGCAGCGGGCCCTTCAGAAGACTAAATAACCTTTTTATATATGTACAATAAAGTTTTCTGTTTCTCTAGTGCTGTGGTCTTGCCTTAACTCTCTCTGGCACTCGTGTGTTGGTACAATGTGTTGGGGAACGTCTTAACTGTGATGTGAAAGTGGATTCTCTGGAGAGGCTGCTGCAATGGTGGGGGGAAGGCAGGGGATCTGGTGCCTAATTAGCACCAGCATGGAGCTGGCTTATTCTCCACCCACGGGTTGCCCTGGCCTGGGATCTGCACGGTAAGAGGCCCAGGCTTGCAGCCTCAGCTGCCACACTTGACCCCTCTTATGGGAAACAGCCTGCGGCTACCACCTTTGCCTCCCAAGGCAGCCGAGGCCTTCCCTCCCCAGCATTTCTGGGCTGTGGGAACTGGAACTTAACTTTGCTTCACACACACAGTGGGGAAGGCCTCACTGCAGGCCTTGGTCTTCCTGTCTGTACACTGACCATTGCTGGAATGCAGGTGCCCATTGGCCAAGGCTACAAAGTGGGGTCTCTTTCCTTCCCCCACACCTCCTCCTGGACATTCAGAAATGGATGGCCCCTGAGGGAGACTAGAGACCTAAAGGCTGGGAGCTGAGGAGAGCTACTTGCCACTGGCTGTGGATATGGAGTGTGAAACTGAATAAAGGCAATCTCATTTAAAATGGAGTCTGGAGGCCAGAAGGGGGAGCTCTCACACCTTACCACTTCTCATCAATTGCAGACCCCAACAGGAAGAAGCATACCTCACTACCCAGCAGGAGGAAGGTTTTCTCTTTGCTCAGCAACAGCTCAGCCAATGAGAAGCCACTACACTTTAAATTCCCAGTTTCTTCCAATGGACTCTTTCTTTATAACAGCGCTGCCCAATTCCTCCCTTTTTCCTGTATAAAAAAAATTTCTCTCCTTTGTTCTTTGGACTTGCCTGTGGTTTGCCATGGATTGCATGCCCTGAACTGCAATTCCTCTGCTATTCCCAAATAAACCCATTTTGCTGGTAAAATGACTGGCTGTTTTATTTTAAAGGTCAACAGGAGTGGGAGCTGGTTTGCCAGGGCTGGGCGTCAGCAGAAGCCAAGGGACACTTTCTGCTTCTCAGCTCCAGCCCTGGCCTAGGATTTCTGAGCTGCCCCAGCCTCCTGATAGCAAGTCCCCCATCTGCTCAAAGTGAGGTCTGTGAGCTGCAGTAGAGGATCTCAGACAAATGTGGGTGGGTATGCAACAGCGCTGCTCACAGCAGCCTTAGCCCCAAGGGCGCAAAGCGTCCACCTCCTCATCCACCAACCCTGCTGCAGTGTGAGGGCCTTTCCCTCAGTCGGTGAGGGTGAGACCACCCTGTCCCTCTACCCTGCCCCACCAACACTGAGCCATCCTCTCCCAAGGATCCCACGACATCCTTGGCCCGAATTGCAAGTGCTGCCACCATATTCCAAGAGGGTGAGCCCATCCCCTTTTCCCTGCCTCCCCCCAACTCTCCCTCATCCCTCATTTGTAGGGTGGCCAGGTAAAATACAAGATGCCCAATTAAATTTGAATTTCAGGTAAACAATGAATAAATTTTAAGTTTCTCCCAAATATTGCTTTTTTTCCCCTCTAAATCTGACAACACTTTCTTCTTCTCCTCGCTCCTCTCCCCCCGCCCCCCCAACATCAAGCTCAGAGAGTTGACGTCTTGTCCTGTTCTGGCAAGTTGCTACAGTAATGTGAATTAGCGGTGGGAATGAGCAGGTGGCGGGGAGGGCAGCTTTGGCTCTAGTCCTATTTCTGCCACCCGCGGGCTGAAGGAAACAAGGCCCGTGCCTTTTAGGAGCTCATTCCCATCTATAAAACGGAGATAAGATCCTGCACCCATAAGTGCAGACGGAAAGCCCTAGCCACTGCTGAACGTTTACTTGATTAGTCTTGAAGTCAGGCCTCCTACTCTGCCCACGGGTGTGCTCACCCCAGCAGGCCTGGCCCTCAGCTTGTTCCCAAGGAGCCTCTCGTAGCACCAGCCAAGCCCTTTGGTTCCTACCCACACACATCCTCCAGGTAATTTGGCTACTCCTGGCAAGAGTTGTGTTGGGACCTGGGGCTCAAGCCAGCGTCTCCGTGTCCCTGACTTGGAGCAGGAGCATCTCGGGGCCCTGGCGTCTCCCCCAGTCACGTGGGTCGTGGTGGTGTCAAGGGCTTTCCAGAGGCCATGTGAGCAGCGGACAGGATGCTGGCCCCTGAAGCACAAGCCCTGGCGGCTCTACTGTGAGTTTCCTTAAGCATCGTGGGTCTCCATTGCTCCAGCTGCCCCGTGGGCATAACACATCCGCTGCCCACAAACCGGGATTGGAGAGGGTGACATCCAGGACACTTCTACTGGAAGATCTAGGACAAACAAGAAATTCCTTCTCTCCTTCCTTGTAAAAGTAGGGTCTTAGGAGGTGGTATTATGGGGCACTTAAGAGCAATGTCTCTGGAGTAAAGAAAAAGCAAAAAAACCTTGGGTGTTGGATCTGCCACTAATTGCTGTATGGTGTTGAGTGAATGACTTCACCTCTCTGAGCCTTTGTTTCCGTATCCATATGGTGGCCATGACAACTGGCCTCAGGGAAGGCGTGAGAGTGAAGTGAGCTCAACTCATAAAGCACTTGGCACCGTTTGTGTACACAGAGAGCACTCCCCGAATGACTGCTGTGGGGTTTTATTATTATTGCCGGGCAGCAGCGAGAGCCAGATGTGACTTCGTTTGCCTCCAGGAAAGTTCCTTTAATTGCTTGAAACATAAGCTGTGGGTTCCGAGGGAAGGGGTTGAGGGTAGGAGGGATGGGTTAGGGAAGCTGTGGGCTCCAAGTCAGACAAAGCCTTATGTAGGCGTCTCCTACCTCCCTAGGGGGCAGCCACTGCCAGAAATCTGGGAGCTGGATCATCTGGGTCTCCAGGAGAATCTATCCCCTCCACGGCCCTGTCCCTGTCCAAGGTGTTGAAATCTGCCCCGGGTAGACTCCTCCTTGTCATGCACACCCATCACTCACCTGCTTCCTACCTCCATTCAACTTCTCAAGTGTACACTGAGCATCTCTACTATATGAGGGGTAGAAGTAAAAACTTTAGATGCCTCTCCAACGCAAGTGGCTCATACCTGATAGGGAAGGAGCTAAAGCACACACAAATGCCTTAGGAGCAGTGAGGCCAAAGGCTAGGGGATGCATTTTCCTATTTCTTGGGTTTCAGTAACACCCACCTCTAGCTTTTACCCTTGCTTCTTCCTCTTGTGCAACCTGGGCATCCTCCAAGGTTGTGCCTCTCATACCTTTCCTGATCTGACCACAGCGTATGAGTCTTCCCCGAGGCAGCTCTTTCTTTACTCACTAATGTCAGAGTCAAGAGGACTAATGATCAATTTCTTGGGGGGCAGGGTTGGGAGGGAAGGTAGGATATATATAGAGAAAGCAGAGGGCCAGGGGTCTCTGAGAAGTAGGGTTGCTGCCTAGACTGGGGTGAGCTCCTTGTCATATTTCTGCATGCCCTCGTCCGGGAGCAGCACCTCCACTGTGAAGCTGACCTTCTTGGCGTGGACAAAGCTGTAGGTGTTGTCAAAGCGCAGGACATCTGGGAGACAGATGGACAGACTGTAGCTGGGCCTGGCTGCACTCTCCCTGCATCCCTGCCCCGGCCACGGGAGAGGACAGGCTGTGTTACCACCTGCTGTGTGTGCCAAGCTGGGCCAAGTTCCCACCACTCCTGATCCCTTCCCCATGGGAACTGCCACCCCTGAGCAGGGCCTGTAAACAGACACTGACCCCCTCCTGGCGCATGCCCAGCCTGGCTTTAGTTGCACCAACTGGCAATGAGAACAATGGTCACTGCATCCCATTGTTTCCACACCTGGACACTTGCATGATGGGGTGGTAGGGGGGCAGCTGGGAATGTCAGAGGCCTCCCAGCCCCTTTGGATGAAGCAAGGTGCTGGGCCAGGCCTGCACATGCCCTCTGCCTCCTCACAACCGCCCTCTGCCCCGAGAGGCAGGGGTTGTAACCTCTGCTTCACAGGTGAGCAAACCTAGGGTCCAGATTGGTGAGACTTTTGTCCAGGGTTATGCAGTGACCCCGAGGCTGAAGCAGGACCCTGGCACCACGCTTAGCTGTGTGGCTCTGGAGAGGTTGGTTTACTTCTCTGAGCCCCAGTTTCCTCCCGGGGAAAGTTGCACCTGCCCTATTGTCCCTTGCCAGTGTCCTGTGGCCCGAGTGCTCTCAACCCCTCAGGGCCTGCATGTCTCTGGCTCTTGGCACACAGTAGGTGCATGCGAGTGTGGACTGAAGGAGCGACTGTATGAATGAATGGCACTAACCTAAGCTGTGTGTCCCTGGGGGGGCGGTCACTGCCCCTCTGTTTCCTCCTCTAAACCATGAGACAGGTGGCTCTAGCCTTCCAGAGCCGGGGCCCAGCAGGGCAGACTTACAGATGCCAGCTTCCGCGCAGGTGAGGCTCCCATCCTCGGGCACCATGTGGGCGTTGTAGCGCTGGCTGGGCAGCACCTCTGTCATCTCCCCCGCCCGCTGCCGCTCCCCCATCTTGGTCTTCAGGAAAACTCCGAAGCCGATGTCAGCACCGTCAGATGAGAACTGCCACCTGTGTAGGGGGAGGGGGGGCAGGTTGCTACTCAGTCTGACTGGTCCCCCAGGGGCTAGGGCCCAGCCAGGGGTGGGTGGGTGGGTGGGCGGCCTGTCCCTTACCTGAGGACACAGCCTGGGAACAGGATCTCGTACTCCACCTGGTGTGAGGAGCCGCGGCTGATCTGCACAGAGTGCTCATACTGAGTCTTCACCTGGTCCCGCACGTACATGGACTTGGGGATCTCCCCACCATAGTTGATCTGCAGGCAGAGAGCGGGAAGGGCTTGCTCTCCTCTTCCGGCCGTTGCATTGTTCATGCTGGTCTCCTGCCTGGGACGCTTCCACCATCTCCTGGAACTACCCTGCTCATTCTGTTCTCCCTACCTCCTGCAGAGACTTCCTTGACCTTCCTGCTGGGGTCAGGGCCTCCTCTGGGAACTTCCCTTTCCAGCTCATCCCTCTGGATCGAAATGTCCTCAAGCCTTGTCTGACTGCACAGCTGCTGAGAGCCTGGTGAGAGCAGGGCTGGGACAGCCTAGCCCAACACCTGGCTCACAGGGGTCTCTCTACAGACATTTGTGGAATGAATTAGTGGGTGAGAAAGGAACCCAGCCCTATTCCTCTCCCCTCCCCTGCCCTGAGGCTCTTCATACCTTAGTTAAACATTTGGGGTTCCCGTCTGGGTCGGTCAAGGTTCCCCCAAACTGGGCAGGCAGTTCCTCAGGACTGATGAGTTTCAGCAAACCTTCCTTCCAGTTGTCTGTGGCAGAGGGTTGAAGGGTGGTTATCGGGCATGGAGGGGATCCATCAGCCCCCCATTCCCACCAGGAGGACTTGAGTTGGGGAGAAGCCCTATGGGAGCTAGGCTGCTAGGGCCAATTCTACAGCCTCCCAGGCCTTGGACTGCAGGAAGTATCTTCCAGCATCATGTTGCTATGGAAATATGTTTCCCCTGGCTGATGGGTTTATACATTATTGAGGGTCTCTCAGTCATGAGTAGTGAAGATAAGAGTTGTCTAATTGTCTCAAGGAGACTTTAATTTTATTTGTTTATTTATTTTTTCCCCCAAAGCCCCAGCAGACAGTTGTATGTCATAGCTGCACATCCTTCTAGTTGCTGTATGTTGGACGCGGCCTCAGCATGGCCAGAGAAGCGGTATGTCGGTGCGTGCCTGGGATCTGAACCCCGGGCCGCCAGCAGCGGAGCACGTGCACTTAACCGCTAAGCCACGGGGCCGGCCCTCAAGGAGACTTAAAGCCTGATGAGGTCAAGGACCTTGTTGGGGGCCCACACAGTGTGTAAGTGCACTACCCAAGTCAGACCTCTTGGTGGGGGATGGATAGCCCTGGGCCTTCGAAAGGACCTTCTCACTCTCCACTGCTTAATCACCACAACCATAATGCCATGACTGTTCTTCATGCCCTATGCAAAGCTCTAAGTGTTCTAGGTCCTGGGGTGTCACCGTGGCCTCAGCCCTGTGACCAATCCAGGCTATCCCCCCCGCCACCGCTGTGGCCATAGGAGATTCCTTGCCACCAGTGGGATAAAAATAAAGACCACAATGCCTGGCACACCAGGGCCAAATGCACAGAGCATCATGCACCACCAAGTGGGGCAGAGGCCTGGACTTGTGCCTGCAGTGTGGCAGTTACCCATGTGGTTCTAGGATTTCGGGGGCTACCCTGTGATCCACCCAGCTCCCTATCCCAGTGGAATTGGGCAGAGGCAGAAACTCAGGTATCAGGAAGAGAGAAAGCAGGGATTTGTAAGATTCACCCCCTAGATCCCCAGATCTCCTGCTTTGATGATCCGACCATTCTGCCTGTGAGAAGTTATCGTCCAAGTTCAGGGTCATTGGTTTGAATTTAAGAACTATTTCTCTTCTCTCTGTCTTTCTCTTTCCCTGTCATTTTAAAAAATAACACTTTTTCCTACGCATAAAAGTAATACATCTTATTATAAAAACAGAAAATACAGAAAAATGCAAAAAATAAAATTAAAAACCACCTGATTTCTTGCCATCCACAAATCAACATTTTGTTGTATTTCCTTCTAGAAATATATTTTTGTTTTTACGATATATATGATCATACTATTCACACCACTTTATAATCTACCTTTTTTTTTTTTTAACTTGATGACATTTCCCAAGACATCAAATCATTTTTCATGGCTGTCCAATAATTCATCAAATGGATGCATTGTTATTTACTTATCCAGTCCCTTCTTGTTGAGCCTCCCTTCTCTGAAGCCTGTCTCATCTTCCTGCTCTTCTTCCTCATCCTCCTCAGCCCAAATTGCTTTTAGAAGCGCTGAAGTGATGAGTGTTGAAAGGAAACTGAGGCCCATAGCTCAGAGGTTGACTAGCAACCAAACTGATATTGATAGAGAGGAAGACGTGGAGGCCTTAGTCACCAAAGAGCTATGGCAGGGAATAGGGCACATGTAACTGGGTATATTCTATAGTGTAAGACCCACCTCACTTTTGAGAAGGAGCCTCTGACTCTAGATGATGTGTGGATCTCTGGATGGGGTGATGGACCAACCTCATTCCTTTGGCTCATGCACAGAGCTCAGGGGAGGGAGCTGGAACTACTTACTTCCCAAGACTACAATTTTTCTGCGAGTGTCCTCACTCAGGAAGGGCTTCATGAGGTTGTAGCCCACAGGGAACAGTTTGGTGGCTGGAGAGAAACAAGAAAGTATAACGGGGAGAAAATAATTCCATTGGGCCACTCTCTCCATAAGTCATAGCCAGCAATATGGAGGAATCATGAATTATCTTGGCAAATTCCAATGCCTTGCACCTGACAAACCATCCAACCAACTGGTAAACCAACCAACAAGCAGCCAACTAACCAACCATCCAATCAATCACCTAATCTATCAAACAGCTGACAAACCAGCCAACAAGTAGCCAATCAATTCATCTTCTAACCAGCTCATCAATCAGCCTACCAACCAATTAGCCAACCTACCAAATAGTCCAACAACCAATCAACACATTAGCCAATCAGCAAACCAATCAATCAATTAAACAACCAGCCAACTGCCCAACCAGCTGCCCTCTCTAGCCAGTCAACCACTCAAACAACTAACCACCCAACCATTCCAACAATCAGCAGTCAACTGTCCAAGATCCAGCCACACAACAAACCAGCCAGCCAACTAACCAATCTGCCAACTAGCCACTCACCCACCCAACCAACCAAAATGCCAGCTAGTCACTCAATCAGTCAATCAAGCTAACAACTATCCGACAAACGAACCAATTATCCCACCAACCACCAGTCAGTCAACTAGACAGCCAACTACTGGCCAGTCAATTAGACAACCAACTAAACAACGAATCAACCAACCAACCAATCAACCAGCCAACCATCAAACATACATGCATCCTTTCATTCACCTACCCACTCACCCAAACAACAGCCACCCAAATACCCATTGAGCACCCACACGGCCCCAGGCCTGTGAGAGATACAACAGAAGTGGAGAATCAGAGGTCTAGGCTTCAAGGAGCAGACAACTCAGCAAGGAAAACAGGACGAACAGATACAAGACACTGGTGGGCCTCGGGAGGCAGCAGACAAGAAAGGCCAGACTGGGCTGCACCAGACGCCAGTGCCAGAGGCAGTTTGAGGAGGGAGAGATCAATGTGGCGAAGAAGTAAGAGGGTTCCTGGAAGAGCTGGGGTTGGAGCTGCCTCCTCTTGCAGTCAGGCCAACCTCAGAAGTCACCATTTACGGAGCACTTACTCTGTTGCAGGCACTCTAAGTGATTTGCATGCAACCGAGCAACCACCTGCCTCCCTGCTACCCAGGGAAGAAGGCACTATTATTGTCCCCAGGGTCCAGATATGGAAACAGAGGCACAGAGAAGTGAAGTCACTTGCCACACACCTTTCACAATGAGCATGAACTTCAGGGTCTCTGGATAATTCTCTTCAAGGAGGCCAAAGAACTGTGGAACCAAGAAAGACCCTGTCAGAGCCCACACCTCACCTTCTGCAACCCCCATCGCCTTTGCAATCTCCCCTCTGCAGGGTTCAGAGGGCTGTGGAGTGTTTCCCTTCTTTCCATCACCTCCTGGTCTCCCTGGAGGGGACCTTCTCACCTTAGACTATTGCAACCACACCCTAATAATAAGTACATAATAATAATCATTTTGAGAGTAAATGTCATACTAATGATGGTATAGTAATAATAATGACTGCTGTTTATTAAATCTTCACTATTTGCTAAGCACTGTGTATACACTTGACATACCAGCTCACTGAATTATCTCTACATTGCTTTTAAATACAGACTATCAGCATCCCCATTTTGTAGATGATGAAACCAAAGCACGGAGGGGGGAAGTGACTTGCCAGAGTCACAGAGCTGGAGACGACAGGGCTGGGAAGGGTTTGGTGGAAGCTGGCCCCTATGATCTCAGTAGTGTTGTCCCTGAGGCCTGTTCTGTGAATCTTCCAGAAAACATATCTTTGGGTCTTGAGTTGCAGTGATGGGGCCTGGGAAGGCCACCACCTTTTACCAGATCTTGGCTCTGAAGGAGCAGCCAGGTGACAGCAGGCCAAGCTAGTCTTTAAAGCAAGCAGGGGGCACCAGGGGCCTTCTCCTCACCTCCTGGTATACTTCCACCACAGGTTTCCAGAAGTGCTTCAGTCCCAGGCCCTCGCAGTCAAATATCATCACGATGGTCTCAATCTTCCTCCCCAGCTGTGAGGATGAGAGCAAGGATCAGAAGTTGGGACATGGGGGCCGTAAGACATGACCCCACAGGGCTTCTCCCAGCCCCCTACACTGTCCTCAGGGAAATGAGCGGACCAAACGGTGAATGCTTCTACCCACCCATCCATCCACCATAGCCAGCCCTGGTGGTCTAGTGGTTAAGATTCGGCGCTCTCACCGCCACAGCCTGAGTTCGTTTCCTGGTCAGGGAACCACACCACTTGTCTGTCAGTTGTCATACTGTGGTGGCTGTGTGTTGCTGTGATGCTGAAAGCTATGCCACCCGTATTTCAAACACCAGCAGGGTCACTCATGGTGGACAGGTTTCAGTGGAGCTTCCAGACTTAGACTAGGAAGAAGGACCTGGCCACCCACTTCCGAACCATGAAAACCCTGTGAATAGCAGTGGAGCATGGTCTGATATAGCGCTGGAAGGTGAGAGGATGGCCCAAAAAGACTGGGCAGGGTTCCACTCTGCTGTCGGAGTTGGAATCAACTTGATGGCACTAACAACAACCATCCAAGATCCATCCATCACCCATTATCCATTCATCATCCATCCATCCATCTATCCATTAATTGACCCACCCATTCATCACTTCACTCATCCATTCATTCATCCATTCATCCCTCCATTTGTCCAATTGATATTTATTAAGCACCTATTTTATGCCAGACACTAGGAGCATAATATGGAATGCTCAATAATCCACAGTTCTTGTCCTCAAAGACTTCACAGTCTGGCTGGGGAGACTGACAAGCCACAGGGTCCCCGCAGTCCCGAGACGAGTGCTGCAAAGGGACAGCACAGGAGCTGTGGGAACACACATTAACCCAGACGGGGGCCCCAGAGAAGGTGACATCTAAGTTTGAGACCTGAATGACAGATAGGAGAGAGCCAAGGGAAGTGTGGGAGGTAGGTGTGTGTGCTGGGGGTAGGGTTACCCAGACAGAAGGAACAGCAGGAGCATAACAATATGAGAGTTGTTATAACAATAACAATAATTAACACTGGTGAGAAATGTGTATCAGGCCCTGTGTGCTGGGCCATAGACTTGCATTATCTCATTTAAACTTTGCAACCATTATTTATTATTATCCCTGTTTTGTGGGTGAGGAGACAGACTCAGAGAGGTAAGGTGACTTTCCAAGGTTGCACAGGTGGGAAGTGGCGGAGCTGGTGTTTGACCCTACAACCTCTGACTGTGGCAGTAGAGAGCACAGGTGTGTTCCTGGGACCATGTCGCCTGGCAGCCTCATCCGCCCCCGGCCGCCCACCTCGCTCAGCCTGGGCCTCACCCGCTCTGTCTGCAGGTCACACTCGTGCAGGATGCGCTCGCAGTCCCTCATCTTGGTCTTGAGCAGGTCCTGCTTGGTGACCGAGAAGAGCAGGCCCTTGGGGTCAAGTGGCCCTATGATGTCGTACCACACGGGGCAGCCGTCACGGTCATAGCCACACAGGCCGCCAGGCATGTACTTCTGGATCACCTGGGAGTGGAAAGACACACGGAATTTGGCATCATGCGTCTCCCTGGAGATCCCACCAGGCTGACCTGGGTGGCCCATGCCCACACACACCACGGTACAAGCACTGTCCCTCCCCAGGAGGGCGGCCCTATTGTCCAGCTGAGAAAACTGAGGGGCCTGCAGAGGAGGCCTTGCTCACAGCAGTACACAGCAAAGCCAGGCCTCAAAGTCTAGCTCAAGGCCTCTGGGCTCTTTAGTTCTGCCCCCAAGGTCCCCCACGTCCCTCTCTGTAGAGACGCTTAGTGATGGAAAACATGGATGCTGAAGGTCAACAGACCTGGTTCAAATACAGACACTGCTGCTTTCCTGCTGTGCATCCTTGAGCAAGTGAAGCCACCTTTCTGAGCCCCATTCCCCCTCCTTTTCTGTAAAATGGTTGGGATAATCCCTCCCTCATGGGACTATTGGAGAAATTCCCCAAGATTATGTGGGCAAAGCACAGTGTCTGGCCCAGAGCTCAGGGTCCACAAAGGAAATTATGACCATTGCTTTACTAAGATGCCAGTGGTGGGACTGTTGTTCCTAACCCCTTGGTGGGCTAAGTTTCTTTCCCACCCAGATGGGATGCTTTGAGCAAGGCCCTGGGGAGAGGCTCAGAGGAACAAGCTAAGAGCCCAGGTTCAGGGGATAGACAGGCCTGAGGTTGAATCCCAGCTCCACCCTGGGGCTGTGGGACTTTGGGTAAGCTGCTTAGCCTTTGCTGGGCCTCAGTGTTCTCACCTGTAAAATGGGGACAATAGTACCCACCTCTTAGGGTCGTGATGATTAAATGAACTCAGGCAGGTCAAGTCTTAACTTAGGCTTGGACTTCATAAGCCCCCCCAAAATATTCGTAATTGTTACAGGAGAGGTGCCTGTGGGCCCAGGGGAGTCCACAGGCCGCTCAGGCTCACTGCCCTTCCCTCAGGGACCCCAGGGATCCAGAGGCTGCTTCGGAGGTATGTCTGTAAAGGACTGGGGTGTGTGGGAGTGTTGGCTCACCTCCGGGGGCTGCCAATCAAGGATGTGGTCAATGTCCATGTTCTTCCGGAACTCCATGTACTGAAAGGGAGATGAGTGGTAAGGCCCCACTGGGCTCGCACCACCCCTGAGGAGGGGATGGAGGTAGGGGCTCGAGACATGGATTGCCCCCCACAAAGCCCCTCACCAAATCTCCAGGGGGGATGGGTCTCACCTTGCGGAGCATAGCCTCCGATTTCTGCAGGTCGAAATTCCGAGCTGCGGGAAGACGGAAGAAAGGCGTGAGGGGGAAAGAGGCTGTCTTGCGGTTGCCTTGTCCTGATCCTGGGCAGAGGGGACTACAGAGGGCACTTGGGGCCTGGGTGGGACCTTCATTCCCTGCCCCCTCCCCTCTCTTGGACCTGAACACATGAAGCAAGATGATGTTGTCGGATCCTGAGAGCCATGGGTTGTTCTGGAGCAGTTGGGACCAGGCCCCTCTCGCTGACCCCTCACCCTGACCTCCCCTACCTCTGCCCTCACCTCGGAGCCAGCGCAGAAGGAAGTAGTCATCAGGGTTGGGCAGGGCAGGCAACACGTCCTGGATGTTTTCTCGGAACTGGGAAGAGAGATGCTGGTTAAAGTGGTTTTCACACTGACCCTTGGCCCCCAGTCTCAATGATTGTTTTCATCATCCTCCCTTCTCTCCCACATGCAGACTGGCCCACAGTGACGAAAGGATGGGTGGGCAGATGGATAGAAGGAGATATAGATCATCGGATGGGTAGGTGGATGGATGGGTAGGTGAATGGAAGGAAGGATAGATGGGTGAGTAAATGGATAGTAAGAAGAATGGTTGGATGAATGGAAGGATGAATGAGTGGGTAGATAGATGGAAAAAAAAAGGGAAGGAGAAATCAATGAATGGGTGGATGGACAGAAGGAGAGATGGGTGGGTGAATGGATAGAAGAAGAGAGGATACATGGGTGTGTAGGGGTGGGAGGATGGATGGAAGAAAGGATAAATGGGTGGGTGAATGGGTAAGCGGCTTGGAGTATGGATGTATTCTTAGTTCTTTCCATGTGTTAGCCTACCAAGGCTTCTGCCATTTTTTATCCCATTTTCTACAAAAACATAGTTAATGATTACATGTCCTCTTCCCCATTGACTGTGTGGATGACAACATACCCTGCTCTTACAGACAGCTCATCTTTCCGGGTCCCGGGGAGGGAGGGGGAACAGAATCAGAGGGCAGACCATCAGCATCCTTCAGCTCCCACCTAAGGAGCCTGGGAGGGAGTGGGGAGGGGCTGGCTGTCAGATAAAACTTTCTGGGTGTGGCTCCTGGATGAGAAGGAGGCAGGCTTGATCTGGCACCCACACTATTGCCTGGAAGTGGTCCTGTGTCCCTCAACCCTTGCCCTGGACAGGGCTGATGTCGCTGGGCACTGTGGGACCTGACATCTGGGAGAAGTGATACCAAAGAGACAGTGTCAAGGACACACTGAGCCAATGGAGTGGGGTAGGGCTCCCGCCACCGCCCCCCCCTCTGCTGGGGGCTCCAGGGGACAGGCTCTCACCTTGGCCAGGGTCTCTGCCTGCTTGGGGCTCAGGTCTCCGACTCGGCCGCTCATGGTGCTGGGTGAGGCTGGAGGAGTGGGGACCGCTGCAGGCAGAGGCCAAGCCTGGTCTGTAGCTCTGACCTAGCCGGGGCCTTTTGCCCCTACTGCTGGGCGTGGCTTCAGGTGCCTCCTCCTTGGCTAACTGTTGGATTGCACGTTACATAATTGGGATTAAGTGAGGTCCCGTGTTTGGCTCTGGCACAGGTCTGGGGGGCAAGTGGACATGGAAGGGCATGCCGCCAGAGGCTGGGAGGGAATGAGGCTGGCCTCCCATGGCCTGGGAGCCCAGGCTGAGTGCCTGTAGAATCCCCATCAGTGCTCCCAGGCCTCTAGAGAATGGGGGACTTCAGGGCAAGTAAGGACTGCTCCCTGCAGGCACCCTTTCTCTCTGAGCTTCAGTCTCCCCATCTCACTAATGAAGAGACCCCACACCTATGGTTCTTCAAAGGTACCCCCCCCGCCCTGACAGGTAGGAGTCTGCGACTGGTCAGTCTAGTAAACAGTTCATTCACTTTGTTGGGTGGGAGGCTCACGTCCTTTTGCAACAAGTGTCCTTACTCAAGAAGAGACAGGCTGGGGCAGAAAAACAGAACTCAAAAGCTGTCCTTGCCGAAGGTCTGTTCTTCCACAGGGCCAACGCTACCTTTCCTGTCTTTCAAATTCTACCTTGCATTGCTGGCCCTCCACCTTCAACGTGGGGAAGGGCTGAGCATCATCTCCCTGTGGCCCCCTTCCCATCACCAAGGTCATGAGGATGCGAGGGGCCTTGTCCAGGATCCTGCATCCCCTGGGCCCGAAGGGAGAGGCAGGGGATGCTGATGGCCTTGGAGTGGTGAGGGCGTTTCCTGAGATTTTAAACACCTGATCAGTGAGGGGCATCCACCGTCTATGCGAGGTGATGAGAGAACCCAGAAGGTTCCCCCGTCCTTTGATTTCTGTCACGTTGCCTGATGTTCCACCATTAGACGTGCCTACGGGGCTCAGCCCTGCTCCGGACTCCCCCGTAAGACCTCTCTTTTAAGATGATGTCTCGGAGTGTCACTCGCCTCATTTATAGAATGGGGCATCCATGCTTGCCCTGTCCTCCTTACGAGGTCCGAGGAAGATCTAATGAGATGTGTAGATTGTCCAGGTCAGCGTGTCTAAGGGATTATTCTCCTCCAGTTCTCAGAAACTCTGAGAAGGCAGAGGCCACGCTGTCAATGATTGTCTGTAAAGAAACCAGGAACGCATCTGCTCGAGAACACAGCACAGCCATGCAGCCACATCTTCTAGGCCTTGAGCGGGTCCACCCGGGCTGAAACTACCCTTGGGTTAGCCTCGGCCCCAACAGCTGGGCTAGCCCAAACCACTCTGCCCCGGGCTCTCCCAGGTCCCCTACCCCTAGGGAATCCTGGGTCTCCTCCCTAGGCTATCTTGGGACCTCTTTAGGCTTGCTGATCTGCATTAGTGCTGTCACTTTCCTTGCTCTGCACTCCTGATAGAATCGGGTCCAGAAGGAGGAGGGGGGGCCATCTTTAGCCCTCTGCCTCCGCCTGGGGCGCCTGCCGCGGGCACTCAGGAGAGGTTAGGTAACTCTCCACATCCCAGTCCCCCCCCACTTCACATTCTGGCCTCTTTCTACAAAGGCCCGGCTGCCATCCACACCCACTTCCCGCCAGGCTGGTGGTATGTGGAGATTGGGTTCCTCCATGGCCCTCTCATTAGCCGCTAATCCTGCTCGTTTCTCACCAGTCTCCTTTCTCGCCCTAATCCCTCTAATGTGAGGCACCCCAGCTACTTCCGAAGACATCACAGGCTGGGCAGGGAGGGACAGGGGGAGGGGTTGGGGGTCCTCCCAGGAGCTGTGGGCCTTCAGAGACACCCCTAAGCACTTTTCCTGACAGACCACAAACAGGCACAGAGCGGCTACTGTGCGCACATATCATCGTCTATAGCGCCGTCCAATAGAACTTGCTGCGATGATGGAAATGTTCTGTATCTGGGCTGTCCTGTTGGACATATTTGATAGCCACTAATCACATATGAAATGTGGTTGGTGAGACTGAGGAACTCAAGTTTTACTTTAATTGAATTTTGATTAATCATACTTTAAATTGCCTCATGTGTCTACCGTATTGAACAAGTCTACTACGTTTACTGAAGGGTTATTACATGCCAGGTCCCATTCTAAGTGCATTACCTCATTTAAACCTCAGAACACCCCTGTGGGGTGGGTACCACCATTAAGCCCATTTTACAGACAAGCAAACTAAGGTATAGAGAAGTTAAGTATCCAATCCGCAGGTAAGCCCATGTAATTGCTGTTGCATGGTTGGGCTATCCCACGGTCTCTGCTCTGGGAGCTTCCACCGTAATCAGGGAGAGGCCCAAGGCACTGAAGTCACCCCAATGGGACGCAGGTGGCATTTGAGCCAGACCTTCAAGAAAAAGAGGATGTCAATTAGTGGAGGAAATGGCACCCCAAGCAGAGGGGATGGCATGGGCGAAGGTGTGGAGGTGGGCCAGTGAAAAGTGCACGGAGGGAGTGTGGCTAGTACAGTAAACAAGATGGATTAGGTCCCCGCCTGCACGGAGCTCACAGTCCCCCATCTGTTGAGCATTTCCTCTGTGCTAGAGCCTGACTTCATTATCAAACCTTTTGGAAGTAGGTAGAGGTAGCCCCATCTTACAGTCAAAGAAATGGAAAGTCAAAGAGTTTGAGAAACTTTTCTGAGGTCACATAGCCAGGAAATGGGGAGGCAGGACTTGAACCCAGGCCCATCCGGAACCTGCGCCAGAACCACAGCCCAGCGCTGACTTCTCTCGGAGGGCCTCACATTGTGCCTGGGATGTAGTAAGTGCTGAATAAATGGTCTAAATGATCATCGTGCGTTAGGAAGCCCGGACCCACTTCCCTTGGGCTGCAGGGTGTCTTGAGGCCAGCAGAATTAACTTCCCTCCTTTGAAACGAAGGCCCTGGCAAAGTGGAACCCCCAGCCCCACCCACAGTACACATCTTCTTCAAGTAAGTCCTCAGACTGCTTATCTCCTAGTTTGCCAAGCTCTCAGGGGGCCATGGCAACAACCAGGGCATAAGCAAACAACTTCAGGGGGGTAAACAGGGCTGCCTGCGCCACACCCTGGAACCCCTCCTTCTAGACTGTTACTAGGAAATGTGAAAGGGCTGCCCCTCTGGCCCCAAGCCGGGCACATTCCTGTCCACCTCCTCTGGATGGGTCCTACCAGAACCAGTCAGGTGAGTACAGAGGGGCCCAGGAGGAGCCTCCCCATGGGGTGAGCGTTGCTGGGAAGACACAAGGGCGGGGGCAGACCGCAGTAAGGTGAGATGGGGTGGCCTAACAAGGGGAGATGGAGAGGGAATTGGGGGTGCCTCACCAGAATCCCAGTGGTGCTCTGGGCAGCACCCTGGGACAGTCTAGCTTCCATCTTTACTCTTGGGCAGTTTCCTCTCCTTTTTGAAAATAAAAAAATATTTTTCAAGTGTGATATAATTCACATACCATAAATTCACCATTCTTAAGGTGTACAATTCAGTGATTTTTAGTATATTCACAAGGTTGTGCAACCATCACCACCATCTAATTGCAGAACATTTTCGTTGTCCCCCAAATTCCTTGTACCCATTAGCAGTCTCCCCTCATTTCTTGTGCCCCTGCACCAGCCTCTGACAACTACTAGTCTACTTTCTCTCTCTAGATTTCCTTATTCTGGATATTTCATATGAAGAGAATCATACAGTGAGTGTGTGGTCTTTGTGACTGGCTTCTTGCACTCAGCATGTTTTCAAGGTCCATCCATGTTGTAGTGTGTCCGTACTTCATTCTTTTTTATGGCTGAATAATATTATTTTGTATGGACATATTATGTTTTGTTTATCCATTCATCAGTTGATGGACATTTGGTGTTTCCACTTTTTGGCTATTATGAATCATGCTGCTATGAACATTTTTTTTTTTTTTTTGGCAGGGGAAGATTCACCCTAAGCTAACATCTGTTGCCAACCTTCCTCCTTTTTCTTCCTTTTTTTCCCCCCTAAAGCCCCAGTACATAGTTGTGTATAGTTGTAAATTCTTCTAGTTCTTCTGTGTGAGCCACTGCCACAGCATGGCAACTGGAGACAAGCAGTGTGGTTCTGCGCCCAGGAACCGAACCCGGGCCACTGAAGTGGAGCACGCAAACTTTAACTGCTAGGCCATCAGGGTGGGCTCCTGAACATTTTTTTTTAATAATTAAGATTTTAATAAAGCAAAATATCCTTTCAACTGAAAACCGTATCTAGTTATCCCTAAGTCAATGACAAGATGGTGTTCTTGATTGCTTGGTACATTTTTTTTTTTTAATTATTTTATTGAGGTCATATTGGCTTATAACATTGTGTAAATTTCAGGTGTACATTCTTATGTTTCAGTTTCTGTATAGACTGCATCATGTTCACCACCAATAGTCTAGTTTTTATCTGTCACCATACGTATGTGCCCCTTTACCCCTTTTGCCCTCCCCCCACTCTCTTCTCCTCTGGTAACCACTAATCTGTTCTCCTTATCCATGTGTTTGTTTGTTTAGCTTCCACATATGAGTGAAATTGTAGGCTATTTCTCTTTCTCTGTCTGACTTATTTCACTTAGCATAACACCCTCAAGGTCCATCGATGGTGTCACAAATGGCACAATTCTATCTTTTTTATGGCTGAGTAGTATTCCATTGTATATATATACACCACATCTTCTTTATCCATTCATCCATTGATGGGCACTTGGGTTGCTTCCACATCTTGGCTATTGTGAATAATGCTGTGATGAAGATAGGGATGCATAAATCTCTTTTAATTGTTGATTTTGTGCTCTTCAGATAAATACCCAGTAGTGGGTTAGCTGGGTCATAGGGTATTTTTATTTTTTGAGGAATCTCCATGCTGTTTTCCATAGTGGCTGCACCAGTTGCATTCCCACAGCAGTATATGAGGGTTCCCTTCTCTCCACGTCCTCTCCAACTCTTGCTATTTCTTGTCTTGTTAATTATAGCCATTCTGATGGGTGTGAGGTGGTATATTATTGCGGTTTTGGTTTGCATTCCCCTAACAACTGATGATGTTGAA